ACTGAACTAGATTGAACTAAAACTGAACTGGAACTGAACTGGAACTGAACTGGAACTGAACTAGAACTGAACTGAACTAGAACTGAACTAGAACTGAACTAGAACTGAACTAGAACTGAACTAGAACTGAACTAGAACTGAACTAGAACTGAACTAGAATGAACTAGAACTGAACTAGAACTGAACTAGAACTGAACTAGAACTGAACTAGAACTGAACTAGAACTGAACTAGAACTGAACTAGAACTGAACTAGAACTGAACTAGAACTGAACTAGAACTGAACTAGACAGAACTGAACTAGAAATGAACTAGAACTGAACTAGAACTGAACTAGAACTGAACTAGAACTGAACTAGAACTGAACTAGAACTGAACTAGAACTGAACTAGAACTGAACTAGAACTGAACTAGAACTGAACTAGAACTGAACTAGAACTGAACTAGAACTGAACTAGAACTGAACTAGAACTGAACTAGAACTGAACTAGAACTGAACTAGAACTGAACTAGAACTGAACTAGAACTGAACTAGAACTGAACTAGAACTGAACTAGACTGAACTAGAACTGAACTAGAACTGAACTAGAACTGAACTAGAACTGAACTAGAATGAACTAGAACTGAACTAGAACTGAACTAGAACTGAACTAGAACTGAACTAGAACTGAACTAGAACTGAACTAGAACTGAACTAGAACTGAACTAGAACTGAACTAGAACTGAACTCGAAGACTAGAACTGAACTAGAATTGAACTAGAACTGAACTAGAACTGAACTAGAACTGAACTAGAACTGAACTAGAACTTGAACTGAACTTGAACTGAACTAGAATTGAACTAAAACTGAACTGGAACTGAACTGGAACTGAACTGGAACTGAACTAGAACTGAACTGAACTAGAACTGAACTAGAACTGAACTAGAAACTGAACTAGAACTGAACTAGAATGAACTAAACTGACTAGAACTGAACTAGAACTGAACTAGAACTGAACTAGAACTGAACTAGAACTGAACTAGAACTGAACTAGAACTGAACTAGAACTGAACTAGAACTGAACTAGAACTGAACTAGAACTGAACTAGAACTGAACTAGAACTGAACTAGAACTGACTAGAACTGAACTAGAACTGAACTAGAACTGAACTAGAACTGAACTAGAACTGAACTAGAACTGAACTAGAAACTGAACTAGAACTGAACTAGAACTGAACTAGAACTAGAACTGAACTAGAACTGAACTAGAACTGAACTAGAACTGAACTAGAACTGAACTAGAACTGAACTAGAACTGAACTAGAACTGAACTAGAACTGAACTAGAACTGAACTAGAACTGAACTAGAACTGAACTAGAACTGAACTAGAACTGAACTAGAACTGAACTAGAACTGAACTAGAACTGAACTAGAACTGAACTAGAACTGAACTAGAACTGAATAGAACTGAACTAGAACTGAACTAGAACTTGAACTGAACTAGAATTGAACTAAAACTGAACTGGAACTGAACTGGAACTGAACTGGAACTGAACTAGAACTGAACTGAACTAGAACTGAACTAGAACTGAACTAGAACTGAACTAGAACTGAACTAGAACTGAACTAGAACTGAACTAGAACTGAACTAGAACTGAACTAGAACTGAACTAGAACTGAACTAGAATGAACTAGAACTGAACTAGAACTGAACTAGAACTGAACTAGAACTGAACTAGAACTGAACTAGAACTGAACTAGAACTGAACTAGAACTGAACTAGAACTGAACTAGAACTGAACTAGAACTGAACTAGAACTGAACTAGAACTGAACTAGAACTGAACTAGAACTGAACTAGAACTGAACTAGAACTGAACTAGAACTGAACTAGAACTGAACTAGAACTGAACTAGAACTGAACTAGAACTGAACTAGAACTGAACTAGAACTGAACTAGAACTGAACTAGAACTGAACTAGAACTGAACTAGAAACTGAACTAGAACTGAACTAAACTGAACTAGAACTGAACTAGAACTGAACTAGAACTGAACTAGAACTGAACTAGAACTGAACTAGAACTGAACTAGAACTGAACTAGAACTGAACTAGAACTGAACTAGAACTGAACTAGAACTGAACTAGAACTGAACTAGAACTGAACTAGAAACTAGAACTGAACTAGAACTGAACTAGAACTGAACTAGAACTGAACTAGAACTGAACTAGAACTGAACTAGAACTGAACTAGAACTGACTAGACACGAACTGAACTAGAACTGAACTAGAACTGAACTAGAACTGAACTAGAACTGAACTAGAACTGAACTAGAAACTGAACTAGAACTGAACTAGAATGAACTAGAACTGAACTAGAACTGAACTAGAACTGAACTAGAACTGAACTAGAACTGAACTAGAACTGAACTAGAACTGAACTAGAACTGAACTAGAACTGAACTAGAACTGACAACTAGAACTGAACTAGAACTGAACTAGAACTGAACTAGAACTTGAACTGAACTAGAATTGAACTAAAACTGAACTGGAACTGAACTGGAACTGAACTGGAACTGAACTAGAACTGAACTGAACTAGAACTGAACTAGAACTGAACTAGAACTGAACTAGAACTGAACTAGAACTGAACTAGAACTGAACTAGAACTGAACTAGAACTGAACTAGAACTGAACTAGAACTGAACTAGAACTGAACTAGAACTGAACTAGAACTGACTAGAACTGAACTAGAACTGAACTAGAACTGAACTAGAACTGAACTAGAACTGAACTAGAACTGAACTAGAACTGAACTAGAACTGAACTAGAACTGAACTAGAACTGACTAGAAACTGAACTAGAACTGAACTAGAACTGAACTAGAACTGAACTAGAACTGAACTAGAACTGAACTAGAACTGAACTAGAACTGAACTAGAACTGAACTAGAACTGAACTAGAACTGAACTAGAACTGAACTAGAACTGAACTAGAACTGAATAGAACTGAACTAGAACTGAACTAGAACTGAACTAGAACTGAACTAGAACTGAACTAGAACTGAACTAGAACTGAACTAGAACTGAACTAGAATGAACTAGAACTGAACTAGAACTGAACTAGAACTGAACTAGAACTGAACTAGAACGAACTAGAACTGAACTAGAACTGAACTAGAACTGAACTAGAACTGAACTGAACTGAACTAGAACTGAACTAGAACTGAACTAGAACTGAACTAGAACTGAACTAGAACTGAAAAACTAAAGAACTGAACTAGAACTGAACTAGAACTGAACTAGAACTGAACTAGAACTGAACTAGAACTGAACTAGAACTGAACTAGAACTGAACTAGAACTGAACTAGAACTGAACTAGAACTGAACTAGAACTGAACTAGAACTGAACTAGAACTGAACTAGAACTGAACTAGAAACTGAACTAGAACTGAACTAGAACTGAACTAGAACTGAACTAGAACTGAACTAGAACTGAACTAGAACTGACTAGAACTGAAACTAGAATTGAACTAGAACTGAACTAGAACTGAACTAGAACTGAACTAGAACTGAACTAGAACTTGAACTGAACTTGAACTGAACTAGAATGAACTAAAACTGAACTGGAACTGAACTGGAACTGAACTAGAACTGAACTGAACTACGAACTAGAACTGAACTAGAACGAACTAGAACTGAACTAGAACTGAACTAGAACTGAACAGAACTGAACTAGAACTGAACTAGACTGAACTAGAACTGAACTAGAACTGAACTAGAACTGAACTAAACTGAACTAGAACTGAACTAGAACTGAACTAGAACTGAACTAGAACTGAACTAGAACTGAACTAGAACTGAACTAGAACTGAACTAGAACTGAACTAGAACTGAACTAGAACTGAACTAGAACTGAACTAGAACTGAACTAGAACTGAACTAGAACTGAACTAGAACTGAACTAGAACTGAACTAGAACTGAAACTAAGAACTGAACTAGAACTGAACTAGAACTGAACTACGAACTGAACTAGAACTGAACTAGAACTGAACTAGAACTGAACTAAGAACTGAACTAGAACTGAACTAGAACTAACTAGAACTGAACTAGAACTGAAACTAGAACTGAACTATGAAACTGAACTAGAACTGAACTAGACCTGAACTAGAACCTGAACTGAGAACTGAACTAGAACTGAACTAGAACCTGAACTAGAACCTGAACTAGTAACTGAACTAGAACTGAAACTAGCAACGGGAACTAGAACTGAACTAGAACTTGAACTGAGAGACTTGAACTAGAAACTGAACTAGGAACTGAACTGGAAACTGAACGAGGAACTGAACTAGAACTGGAATGCTAGAACTGAACTAGAACTGAAAACTAGAACTGAAACTAGAACTGAACTATAAAACTGTAACTAGAACTGAACTAGAACTGAACTAGAACTGAAACTAGAACTAGAACTGAACTAGAAACTGAACTAGAACTGAACTGAACTGAACTAGAACTGAACTAGAACTGAACTAGAACTGAACTAGAACTGAACTAGAACTGAACTAGAACTGAACTAGAACTGAACTAGAACTGAACTAGAACTGAACTAGAACTGAACTAGAACACTAGAACTGAACTAGAACTGAACTAGAACTGAACTAGAACTGAACTAGAACTGAACTAGAACTGAACTAGAACTGAACTAGAACTGAACTAGAACTGAACTAGAACTGAACTAGAACTGAACTAGAACTGAACTAGAACTGAACTAGAACTGAACTAGAACTGAACTAGAACTGAACTAGAACTGAACTAGAACTGAACTAGAACTGAACTAGAACTGAACTAGAACTGAACTAGAACTGAACTAGAACTGAACTAGAACTGAACTAGAACTGAACTAGAACTGAACTAGAACTAGAACTGAACTAGAACTGAACTAGAATTGAACTGGAATGATCTAGAATTGAACTGGAACTGATCTGGAACTATAACTGTAGTATAACTTAGAGAAGACTCACCATAAATCCAACCCACCGCTATCAACTCAGCGATGGCCAAAAACAAAGCTATAAATGAACAGCCAAAGAAATCCACCATATTCAAAACAAATTGTCCACCAGGAGTCATATAGACAATGCCGCACAAAAAGCCCACCACTGCCATGGCCGTCGATAGGAACCAATGAGGCAAATGATTAAAACGATCCTTTATAACGGTGATAACACACGAGGCCATGCCAATATTACTGCCCATGCCCAAGACCAAAAGCATCATAAAGAATAAAACGGCAAAAACTTGAGGTAAAAATTTAAACTTTGCTATAGCCTCAGGATAAGAGATAAATGCCAAACCAGCTCCTCCTTTCACAACATTGGCAATATCTGAGGTCTTCGTTTCATAGGCCAAATTGCCCAAAATGCCAAAAATAATACAGCCGGCTAGGATAGAGGTAACTGAATCAACACTGGTTATGATGATGACATCACTATGAGAGAGAGAATAAAAGGAAAGTAATAATTGGCAAAGAATATTTTGAAGGTTTTAGTTCTACTTACCGGTAAACATTTTTACGGAAATTATTAAAGGAAGCATACATGACCAATGTACCGAAACATATGGCCAAGGAGAAGAACATTTGTGTGATGGCATTGTACCAAACCTGGGTGAAAAATTTAAGTTTTATGAAGTAATGATACGGATCTAATCTATAAGTTTTAAACACTTACATTAGGATTCAATAACTCACTCCATTGTGGTTTCAAAAAGTACACTATACCATCCCAAGAACCGGGCAAAGTCAAAGCTCTTCCCAGTAAAATAAACATAACAATATAGGGAAATATGGCCAAAAAGTATGAGGCTTTACCCGAGCTACGTATGCCTTTGGCTAGAATTACCGCTATAATCAGCCATGCAAACATTAAACACACCACCAAATCCCAATTGGGAGAACCCAACCCATCATCAATATTCTCACTTTCACGCAAAACTGTTTTGGTGAAAAATAACTCTGCCGAGGAAATGCGTTTTATGTCCGTAACATTAGCCCCCTGATCTAATGACTCAGAAGTGGCTATACAACTTGAACCCCATTCTGTTAGACAATAGGTCCAGGGTAATACATCCGATAAAGAAGCTATTAAGTATTTTAAAGTTAAGGCCATAATACTGGCATAATAGGTGGTGGCCAAGGCTGTGGCATAAACTTGACCATAGGCTATACCTTTAGAAATAAAAATCGGTTAATATTAAATCTTTTTTCTCCAGTTTTTGACTTACCCTTCATTAACGGCACCATATCGAAGGCCTTGATACAGCCCCTACTGGAAAATTGTCCTATTATTACCTCCATATAGTAAACCGGCCTTCCAATTAGCAGTAATACTATTATATAAGGTATAACAAAGGCTCCACCCCCATTAGCCAAAGCTATAAAGGGAAAACGCCATACATTGCCCAGGCCCACCGATAAGGCAATACAGGAAAATAGAAACTCAATTTCTTTGCCCCATTTTTCACGACCCACTTCGGAACTGCTGTCACTGTTGGAACTAGAAACTGAAAGCTGTTTTACAGACAAATAATAAATTTAATTAAAAGAATCTTGATTTGAGTATAAAAATGTTTCGACTTACCAAAGCCACATCTTTGCTATAGGTAATACTTTGTTTTTGCTGTGAGTCCTTTTCAATTTGTAAAATATTTATTTGTTGTTGTGATAATTTATCGTATTGTGCATCCATGTTGAACTGATTAAAGTTTTTCTTAAGCAGATAATAGATCAAGGTTTAAGTAAAACTCTAATTGAAATAATTAAAAAATTCATTAGAATACGCTAAAAAGCGATTAAACCCTATTTTTCTAGAAAAATTTTCGATAAATATTAGATCATAATCTTGTCTATTTATAGGCCGGACAATATTTAGAAGTCTAATATAGTCTAGCCCATAGTATGGTATGTGGTATATTATATAGTCTAGACTGTAGTCTAGTATATAGTCTAGACTGTAGTGAAAACTTGACTGTAGTCTAGTCTATAGCCTGGTTTGTATTCCAGTCTATAGTCTGAACTATAATCTGGTCTGTAGTATAGTCTATATACTGTGGACTATACTATAGTCTGGACTATAGACTGGACTGTAGTCTGGACTATAATCTATTCTATAGTCTGGACTATAGTCTATTCTATAGTCTGGACTATAGTATATTCTATAGTCTGAACTATAGTCTATTCTATAGTCTGGACTATAGTCTATTCTATAGTCTGGACTATAGTCTATTCGATAGTCTGGACTATAGTCTATTCTATAGTCTGGACTATAGTCTATTCTATAGTCTGGACTATAGCCTATTCTATAGTCTGGACTATAGTCTATTCTATAGTCTGGACTATAGTCTATTCTATAGTCTGGACTATAGCCTATTCTATAGTCTGGACTATAGTCTATTCTATAGTCTGGACTATAGTCTATTCTATAGTCTGGACTATAGTCTATTCTATAGTCTGGACTATAGTCTATTCTATAGTCTGGACTATAGTCTATTCGATAGTCTGGACTATAGTCTATTCTATAGTCTATTATATAGTCTGGACTATAGCCTATTCTATAGTCTGGACTATAGTATATTCTATAGTCTATTCTGTAATCTGGACTATAGTCTATTCTATAGTCTGGACTATGGTCTATTCTATAGTCTGGATTTTAGTTTATTCTATAGTCTTGACTATAGTCAATTCTATAATCTATTCCATAATCTGGACTATAGTTTATTCTATAATCTGGACTATAGTCTATTATATAGTCTAGACTACAGTCTATTATATAGTCTGGACTATAGTATATTCTATAGTCTTGGCTATTGTCTGGATAGTCTGTAGTCTAGTCTTTCTATAGTCTGGACTATAGTTTATTCTATAGTCTGTAGTCTATAGTATTTTTTATAGTATATTTATAGTCTAGTCTATAGCCTAGTCTTTATCCTAGCCTAATATCTAGTCAATAGTCTAGTCTAGAGTCTAATCTATAGTCTAATCTATAATCTGGTCTACAGTCTAGTCTATAGTCTAGTTGATAGTCTAGTCCATAGTCTAGTCGATAGTCTAGTCGATAGTCTAGTCTATAGTCTAGTCGATAGTCTAGTCGATAGTCTAGTCTATAGTCTAGTCTATAGTCTAGTCTATAGTCTAGTCTATAGTCTAGTCGATAGTCTAGTCGATAGTCTAGTCGATAGTCTAGTCTATAGTCTAGTCTATAGTCTAGTCTATAGTCTAGTCTATAGTCTAGTCTATAGTCTAGTCTATAGTCTAGTCTATAGTCTAGTCTATATTCTAGTTTATAGTCTAGTCTATAGTCTAGTTTATAGTCTAGTCTATAGTCTAGTCTATAGTCTAGTCTATAGTCTAGTCTATAGTCTAGTTTATAGTCTAGTCTATAGTCTAGTCTATAGTCTAGTCTATAGTCTAGTCTATAGTCTAGTCTATAGTCTAGTCTATAGTCTAGTCTATAGTCTAGTCTATAGTCTAGTCTATAGTCTAGTCTATAGTCTAGTCGATAGTCTAGTCGATAGTCTAGTCGATAGTCTAGTCTATAGTCTAGTCTATAGTCTAGTCTATAGTCTAGTCTATAGTCTAGTCTATAGTCTAGTCGATAGTCTAGTCGATAGTCTAGTCTATAGTCTAGTCTATAGTCTAGTCTATAGTCTAGTCTATAGTCTAGTCTATAGTCTAGTCTATAGTCTAGTCTATAGTCTAGTCTATAGTCTAGTCTATAGTCTAGTCGATAGTCTAGTCGATAGTCTAGTCTATAGTCTAGTCTATAGTCTAGTCTATAGTCTAGTCTATAGTCTAGTCTATAGTCTAGTCTATAGTCTAGTCTATAGTCTAGTCTATAGTCTAGTCTATAGTCTAGTTTATAGTCTAGTCTATAGTCTAGTCTATAGTCTAGTCGATAGTCTAGTCGATAGTCTAGTCTATAGTCTAGTCTATAGTCTAGTCTATAGTCTAGTCTAGTCTAGTCTATAGTCTAGTCTATAGTCTAGTCTATAGTCTAGTCTATAGTCTAGTCTATAGTCTAGTCTATAGTCTAGTCTATAGTCTAGTCGATAGTCTAGTCGATAGTCTAGTCGATAGTCTAGTCGATAGTCTAGTCGATAGTCTAGTCGATAGTCTAGTCGATAGTCTAGTCTATAGTCTAGTCTATAGTCTAGTCTATAGTCTAGTCTATAGTCTAGTCTATAGTCTAGTCTATAGTCTAGTCTATAGTCTAGTCGATAGTCTAGTCGATAGTCTAGTCGATAGTCTAGTCGATAGTCTAGTCGATAGTCTAGTCTATAGTCTAGTCTATAGTCTAGTCTATAGTCTAGTCTATAGTCTAGTCTATAGTCTAGTCTATAGTCTAGTCTATAGTCTAGTCTATAGTCTAGTCTATAGTCTAGTCTATAGTCTAGTCTATAGTCTAGTCTATAGTCTAGTCTATAGTCTAGTCTATAGTCTAGTCTATAGTCTAGTCTATAGTCTAGTCTATAGTCTAGTCTATAGTCTAGTCTATAGTCTAGTCTATAGTCTAGTCTATAGTCTAGTCTATAGTCTAGTCTATAGTCTAGTCTATAGTCTAGTCTATAGTCTAGTCTATATTCTAGTCTAGTCTAGTCTAGTCTAGTCTAGTCTAGTCTATAGTCTATAGTCTAGTCTATAGTCTAGTCTATAGTCTAGTCTATAGTCTAGTCTATAGTCTTAGTCTATAGTCTAGTCTATAGTCTCTAGTCTATAGTCTAGTCTATAGTCTAGTCTATAGTCTAGTCTATAGTCTAGTCTATAGTCTAGTCTATAGTCTAGTCTAGTCTAGTCTAGTCTAGTCTAGTCTATAGTCTAGTCTATAGTCTAGGCTATAGTCTAGTCTATAGTCTAGTCTAGTCTAGTCTATAGGTCTATAGTCTAGTCTATAGTCTTAGTCTATAGTCTAGTCTATAGTCTAGTCTATAGTCTAGTCTATAGTCTAGTCTAGTCTACTCTATAGTCTACTCTATAGTCTAGTCTATAGTCTAGTCTATAGTCTAGTCTATAGTCGAGTCTATAGTCTAGTCTATAGTCTAGTCTATAGTCTGGTCTATAGTCTAGTCTATAGTCGAGTCTATAGTCTAGTCTATAGTCTAGTCTATAGTCTAGTCTAGTCTATAGTCTAGTCTATAGTCTAGTCTATAGTCTAGTCTATAGTCTATAGTCTAGTCTATAGTCTAGCCTATAGTCTAGTCTATAGTCTAGTCTATAGTCTAGTCTATAGTCTAGTCTACAGTCTAGTCTATAGTCTAGTATATAGTCTAGTCCGTAGTCTAATCGATAGTCTAGTCTATAGTCTAATCTATAGTCTAATCTATAGTATAATCTATAGTCTAAACTATATTCTAGTTTATAGTCCAATAATATTGTATATAATTTTGGTTCCCCTGTAAAACCTTCAAGTGAACGTTTTTATTAATTATTTTATTAATAATTTCTTTCCACTTCCATTATCTCAACATTTTTATGGCGCTTAACTATGCAAATCAATACTTAAAAGATGAGAAAAAAAAACATCTAGACCGAAAGAAAGACAATGGCTTGCAACTGTAAATGAATTATGTGTGTGATGATAACAGGGATGGAAGTAGCAGTAGTTTTTAGTTTCCTTGAAAAAGAAACATAACTTGAAAATTATCAAATAAAATTCAAACACAGTCTTATCTATTCCTGTCAGAAATTTTACTTTAACTTTTGGTAAAAGATTTCGTAAGAAATATCTCCATTTTCCATCCCTGTTATTTACATAATTTTTTTTCTAATTTTTTTGCTTTTATGTTATTGACATTCGCGCTCTGTATATTAATTCCCTTCCATTGACCATTTATTTTCAAATGTCTAGATATTTGTTGCACTTTTTATTATTATTATTGATAAGCGTGTTAATTTTTTTTTATACTTTTCATAAAATTTAAAACAATAATCAAATACAAGTCTTTGTAAAATAAATTTTATATGTTTTTTGTTATTGATAAAATGCATAATGCAATGCTGCTTAATGATACCTAACAAAAATACTGAGGAATTTTATTAAGGAAAAAGTTCAGTTAAGAACCACGCTTAAGATTTCTTACAACTGATAACAGAACGAACTAGTGCCTTGACAGGGGTGTAAGTATATATATAAATCTTTAAATGTATGTGTCTAATCGAATGAGACAAATCTAATTCATTTAGGCTATTAATCATAAATGCATGCGAAAATTTAGCACTGAGGTAGAACTGAACTTGAACTGAACTAATCTAGAACTGAACTGAACTAGAATTGAACTAGAACTGAACTAGAACTGAACTAGAATTGAACTAGAACTGAACTAGAACTGAACTAGAACTGAACTAGAACTGAACTAGAACTGAACTAGAACTGAACTAGAACTGAACTAGAACTGAACTAGAACTCAACTAGAACTGAACTAGAACTGAACTAGAACTGAACTAGAACTGAACTAGAACTGAACTAGAACTGAACTAGAACTGAACTAGAACTGAACTAGAACTGGACTAGAACTGAACTTGAACTGAACTAGAACTGAACTAGAACTGAACTAGAACTGAACTAGATTTGAACTAGAACTGAACTAGAACTGAACTAGAACTGAACTAGAACTGAACTAGAACTGAACTAGAACTGAACTAGAACTGAACTAGAACTGAACTAGAACTGAACTAGAACTGAACTAGAACTGAACTAGAACTGAACTAGAACTGAACTAGAACTGAACTAGAACTGAACTAGAACTGAACTAGAACTGAACTAGAACTGAACTAGAATTGAACTGGAACTGAACTAGAACTAAACTAGAACTGAACTAGAACTGAACTAGAACTGAACTACAACTGAACTAGAAATGAACTACAACTGAACTAGAACTGAACAAGAACTAAACAAGAACTGAACTAGAACTGAACAAGAATTGAACTAGAACTGAACTAGAACTGAACTAGAACTGAACTAGAACTGAACTAGAACTGAACTAGAACTGAACTAGAACTGAACTAGAACTGAACTAGAACTGTACTAGAACTGAACTAGAACTGAACTAGAACTGAACTAGAACTGAACTAGAACTGAACTTGAACTAGAACTGAACTAGAACTGAACTAGAACTGAACTAGAACTGAACTAGAACTGAACTAGAACTGAACTAGAACTGAACTAGAACTGAACTAGAACTGAACTAGAACTGAACTAGAACTGAACTAGAACTGAACTAGAACTGAACTAGAACTGACCTAGAACTGAACTAGAAATGAACTAGAACTGAACTAGAACTGAACTAGAAATGAACTAGAACTGAACTAGAACTGAACTAGAACTGAACTAGAACTAAACTAGAACTGAACTAGAACTGAACTAGTACTGAACTAGAACTGAACTAGAACTGAACTTGAACTAGAACTAGAACTAGAACTGAACTAGAACTGAACTAGAACTGAACTAGAACTGAACTTGAACTAGAACTGAACTAGAACTGAACTAGAACTGAACTAGAACTGAACTAGAACTGAACTAGAACTGAACTAGAACTGAACTAGAACTGAACTAGAACTGAACTAGAACTGAACTAGAACTGAACTAGAACTGAACTAGAACTGAACTAGAACTGAACTAGAACTGAACTAGAACTGAACTAGAACTGAACTAGAACTGAACTAGAACTGAACTAGAACTGAACTAGAACTGAACTAGAACTGAACTAGAACTGAACTAGAACTGAACAAGAACTGAACTAGAAATGAACTACAACTGAACTAGAACTGAACAAGAACTAAACAAGAACTGAACTAGAACTGAACAAGAATTGAACTAGAACTGAACTAGAACTGAACTAGAACTGAACTAGAACTGAACTAGAACTGAACTAGAACTGAACTAGAACTGAACTAGATCTGAAGTAGAGTTGAAGTAGAACTTAACTAGAACTGAACTATCTATAGTCTAGTCTATAGTTTAGTGTATAGTCTAGTCTATAGTTTAGTCTATAGTCTAGTCTATAGTCTGGTCTAGTCTAGTCTATAGTCTAGTCTATTGTATAGTCTACAGTCTAGTCTGGTCTATAGTTTAGTCTAAATTCTTTTGTCAGTTTTTGTTATTAAGGGTTTTTGAACCTTTCTAATCATTAAACAAATATGAAAATTTTTAAAACATTTCATCTCAAAAAAACATGTAAATTTTGTTTTTATAATATTTGTTGATATTAATATATGATAATAATGATAATAATGCAATTTACTACAAAGTAGCATTATTAAAATATTTAAACAAATCTTCATTTAAAAAAAAAAGTTCATTTAATGAGATAATATAAAATTTTATTAAGGTAAGTAAAAATTCGTGATAATCTTATCATTTATTTGAAAAACACTTTCTTTTCTTTGGAGAAAACAAAACACTAAATCTTAAAAAGGTTGACAAATATCCAATGAAAGTTAAGACTGAGATTCGATCATAAAAGAGTCATATATGGATGGTATAAAAAAATATAATTATTAGATATAGTTTATAAGCAATTGTTAATTGTCAACTATTAAAATGTTTACCCTTAGTTTAATTAATGGAAAAACACGTTATTTTTATAATTTTGAAGTAAATTTTTTGTAGAATTTTAAAAACACTACTCACGGGTTTTCGTCTATTAGACAAAAACGTTGTAATTATTTTATATTTAGTTCACTTTTAAAATTTTCTTTAATTTTACATTTGAGAAAATGTTAAACACTTTTCACTTTTTTTATTTTTAAATAATTTAAAACACACTTTTTTTGTCAAAAATCCTTTTTCGCAGGATATTTTTATAGTTTTTAATATTTTTGTTTTTCAATTTATTGTAATTTTTATTCAAATCCTTTTTTTTTATTAGTACTTCTTCCCACATAAAACTTTATCCATAATTCTCATTTATCCGCCTTTTATCCACTTTTTTCCCCCAAGTTATTTCAAAGTTTAACCGTTTGTTATGACAAGGCCTGATCAACTGAGAGATTGATAAGCTGTGCTGTTATGTTTAACCAGATATTTTAATTGTCTTTTCATTAAAACAAAAAAAAAAAAAAAAATCACAGCTATATACAGAATCAGTACGCTGCTCTGGTTCGGTTTTAATCTATCTACTAGACATAAAAACAAATGTATCTGATCAACAACAACATCGGCTCTAGTACATAGATATGAATTTGTTATATACTCATATCTTCTATATGCATACAGTTAAATAAATTATGTAGTAAATATGCAAATAAAATAGACAATTTATAGACAGTTATTAAAAAGGTTTGAAGGGTTTGAATTTAGATCCATTTGTATTCCATGAATATTAATGTCAAATATTTAATATTGTTTGAAGCCAAAGAAATTGCAAAACGTGAATTTAATTTATTACGCACGTTTTGCATATGAACTTATTGAAATTTTATTAATATTTTAATAAATATTAACATAATTTTTATGCCAACTAAATTAATATGTTGATGCAAATGACGGCTATAGACGTCGAGCACGGGATCTCGTAGATGTAAATGACGTCACATAATGTTACTTTTCTTAATATTGATGTCACTATGAAGCGGAGACGGAAACAAACGAAGATGAAAGCTATTCTTACTAATTACTTAACTAACTAACTAACTAACTAACTAACTAACTAACTAACTAACTAACTAACTAACTAACTAACTAACTAACTAACTAACTAACTAACTAACTAACTAACTAACTAACTAACTAACTAACTAACTAACTAACTAACTAACTAACTAACTAACTACTAACTAACTAACTAACTAACTAACTAACTAACTAACTAACTAACTAACTAACTAACTAACTAACTAACTAACTAACTAACTACTACTAACTAACTAACTAACTAACTAACTAACTAACTAACTAACTAACTAACTAACTAACTAACTAACTAACTAACTAACTAACTAACTAACTAACTAACTAACTAACTAACTAACTAACTAACTAACTAACTAACTAACTAACTAACTAACTAACTAACTAACTAACTAACTAACTAACTAACTAACTAACTAACTAACTAACTAACTAACTAACTAACTAACTAACTAACTAACTAACTAACTAACTAACTAACTAACTAACTAACTAACTAACTAACTAACTAACTAACTAACTAACTAACTAACTAACTAACTAACTAACTAACTAACTAACTAACTAACTAACTAACTAACTAACTAACTAACTAACTAACTAACTAACTAACTAACTAACTACTAACTAACTAACTAACTAACTAACTAACTACTAACTAACTAACTAACTAACTAACTAACTAACTAACTAACTAACTAACTAACTACTAACTAACTAACTAACTAACTAACTAACTAACTAACTAACTAACTAACTAACTAACTAACTAACTAACTAACTAACTAACTAACTAACTAACTAACTAACTAACTAACTAACTAACTAACTAACTAACTAACTACTAACTAACTAACTAACTAACTAACTAACTAACTAACTAACTAACTAACTAACTAACTAACTAACTAACTAACTACTAACTAACTAACTAACTACTAACTAACTAACTAACTAACTAACTAACTAACTAACTAACTAACTAACTAACTAACTAACTAACTAACTAACTACTAACTAACTAACTAACTAACTAACTAACTAACTAACTAACTAACTAACTAACAACTAACTACTAACTAACTACTAACTAACTACTAACTAACTACTAACTAACTAACTAACTAACTAACTAACTAACTAACTAACTAACTAACTAACTAACTAAACTAACTAACTAACTAACTAACTAACTAACTAACTAACTAACTAACTAACTAACTAACTAACTAACTAACTAACTAACTAACTAACTAACTAACTAACTAACTAACTAACTAACTAACTAACTAACTACTAACTAACTACTAACTAACTACTAACTAACTAACTAACTAACTAACTAACTAACTAACTAACTAACTACTAACTAACTAACTAACTACTAACTAACTAACTACTAACTAACTAACTAACTAACTACTAACTAACTAACTAACTAACTAACTAAACTAACTAACTAACTAACTAACTAACTAACTAACTAACTACTAACTAACTAACTAACTAACTAACTAACTAACTAACTAACTAACTAACTAACTAACTAACTACTAACTAACTAACTACTAACTAACTAACTAACTAACTAACTAACTACTAACTAACTAACTAACTAACTAACTACTAACTAACTAACTAACTAACTAACTAACTAACTAACTAACTAGCTAACTAACTAACTAACTAACTAACTAACTAACTAACTAACTAACTAACTAACTAACTAACTACCTAACTAACTAGCTAACTAACTAACTAACTGACACTATAGTAGACTTTATAGACGACACTTTAGACGAGTTTATAGACCACACTATACAAAAGTTTATGGACGACACTATAGACGACTCTATGTACGAATTTATAGACGACACTGTAGACGAGATAGACGATATTATAGACGACACTATAGACATGTTTATAGACGACACTATAGTCAAGTTTATGGACGACATTATAGACGACACTATAGACGAGTTTACAGACGACTCTATAGAGGAGTTTATAGACTACACTATAAACGAGTTTATTCAACACACTATAGACAATTTTATAACGACACTATATACGAGTTTATAGACAACACTATAGACGAGTTTATAGACTACACTATAGACGAGATTATAGATGTCACTATAGACAAGTTTCTAGAAAGGCTTATAGACGAAACTATAGACGAGTTTATAGACGACACAAAATGCGAGTTTATAGACGAGTTTATATACTACACTATAGACAAGTTTATAGACGTCACAATAAGCGAGTTTACAAACTACACTATAGACGAGTTTATAGACGTCACAATAAGCGAGTTTATAAACTACAACTATAGGCGAGTTTACAGACGACACTATATACGATTTTATAGACGCCACTGTAGACAAGTTTATAGACAACACTATAGATGAGTTTATAGACTACACTATAGACTATAGACAAGTTTATAAACTAAGCTACAGATAAGTTTATAGACGATACTATACAGAGTTTTTAGACTACACTATAGACGAGTTTACAGACGACACAATAGGCGAGTTTATAGATAGAGTTTGTAAACGAGTTTATAGACTACACTATAAACTAGTTTATAGACGACACAATAGGCGAGTTTATAGACGAGTTTACGGACCATACTATAGACGAGTTTATAGACTACACTATAAACGAGTTTATAGACGACACAATAGGCAAGTTTATAGACGAGTTTATTGACTACACTATAGACGAGTTTACGGACCACACTATAGACAAGTTTATATACTACACTATAGACGAGTTTGAAAACGATTATATATAAATTTTAAAGAGGCTCTAGGCGAGTTTATAGCCAAGACTATTATCTTAATTGTATCTAAACCCCTTATAGTTTTATTTTTATCACTGTTATTTTAAAGTAATTAGGAAATCTTCAAAACAATTTAATGTTTATCTTCTTAAACTTCTTAAGCAGTATTTCAAGGTTTAACATTTTGTAGGTGTTTTTTACAATGATTTATCAGTTTTCTTAAAGATAAGCTAAGGTGGCCAACCTAATATAATATGTAAGTAAAAATTTGCTTATATTTAATAGAAGTTAACATGACCATTTTGTAAAGTGGGTGTGTCTACACATAATTTGTTGTAGAAGTCGTTATCTATCTAATGTAGGGTTGTTTTCATTATAAACAAATTCAATTTATTATCGGTTACAATTATTGTCTAGAGATTTTTTCCACATAACTGACTGTCTGATGCTAAAAATTTTACGCTTATTGATCAATGATCATACTTTACATAGTAGTATTAATTTATAAAAAAATTTAAAATAGTAAATTTCTTATATACATTTGTAAATACTCGTATTGATTATGTATTAATTAATAACTAACATCATAATGAACAATGAATGTTACTTAATTAAAAATAGACGAGTTTATAGACGAGACTGAAGACGATATTACATAGACTATGGAAGAGTTAACAGATGAATTTATAGACTAGACTACACTAGACTGCACTATCGACATCTATAGTCTAGTCTATACTGTAGTGTATAGTCTAAGTGTATAGTCTAGTGTATAGTCTAGTGTATAGTCTAGTGTATAGTCTAGTGTATAGTCTAGTGGTATAGTCTAGGCTAGTCTAGTAGTATAGTCTAGTCTAGTATAGTCTATAGTCTAGTCTATAGTCTAGTCTATAGTCTAGTCTATAGTCTAGTATAGTCTAGTCTATAGTCTAGTCTATAGTCTAGTATAGTCTAGTCTATAGTCCTAGTCTATAGTCTAGTCTATAGGTCTAGTCTAGTCTAGTCTATAGTCTAGTCTATAGTCTAGTCTATAGTCTAGTCTATAGTCTAGTCTATAGTCTAGTCTATAGTCTAGTCTATAGTCTAGTCTATAGTCTAGTCTATAGTCTAGTCTATAGTCTAGTCTATAGTCTAGTCTATAGTCTAGTCTATAGTCTAGTCTATAGTCTAGTCTATAGTCTAGTCTATAGTCTAGTCTATAGTCTAGTCTATAGTCTAGTCTATAGTCTAGTCTATAGTCTAGTCTATAGTCTAGTCTATAGTCTAGTCTATAGTCTAGTCTATAGTCTAGTCTATAGTCGTCTATAGTCTAGTCTATAGTCTAGTCTAGTCTAGTCTATAGTCTAGTCTATAGTCTAGTCTATAGTCTAGTCTATAGTCTAGTCTATAGTCTAGTCTATAGTCTAGTCTATAGTCTACTCTATAGTCAAGTCTATAGTCTAGTCTATAGTGTCTAGTCTATAGTGTAGTCTAGTCTATAGTGTAGTCTAGTCTATAGTGTAGTCTAGTCTATAGTGTAGTCTAGTCTATAGTGTAGTTTTAGTCTAGTCTATAGTCTAGTCTATAGTCTAGTCTATAGTCTACCT